GCTTGAGCCAAGCTTGTAAAGGATATATCTGCCGCCACAGTCGGCCCAACAGGGGGGATAAAATTCTTTGCGGGGCCCTCTAGAGGCCCTTGCGCGTCCTAGCAGCCCCGAGGTGCTAACCGTGGTGTTTTTAGGACGGACAGCGCTTTGCGCTGCATGCCCCCCCGCGCGGTGTGCTTGCGGCACAACCGTGCTCCTCCGCCTTTTCGCAGGCTCTTTCTTTTGCATCTTCTGCAGGAGAGTCGCCGAGCTGGGATCAGGGTTTTGATTTTGGGACCGACGCTACAGCAAGTTTTGGCGGCATCAGCAGGCTGCGACTTGCTTCTCTTTGTGGGCCTGGATACTTTCCAGGCGATACAAGTATCGTGTCGTGAAACGGCACGTATTTTTGCAGAGCTTTTGGATTTCTTTTCTCGTCGAGAGCTACGCCTGCGGCGCCTTTACAATTTTCAGTGACATGCCTCCGTCTCCTTCATTTTTGGAGCGGGAGGGATCCAATGAGGAGACTGGTAGCCCAGAGCAACCGCCTTGGGTTTCAGAAGATGAAGACTTAAATGTTTTTCATTTGCTGGAAGCACCCGGCCGAGAGCCGGGAGACATCGAGGATGAAGTTGATTTGGCTGACGAGGCCAGTTGGTACCGCCAGGTGCAAGACCAACCTGAGGATGGTCGTGCAGACTCTGCTTGCTCCTGGGCCCTGCCGGGAGACGAGGGCTCGGCCGGAGATTCATTAGAGCATGCACCGAAGAAGTCTGTGACCCAAACCTCATTGCCGATGCTTCCTGCTGTTAGGTTTCAAGGCCCTGGGTCTGTGGATCCGCAGATCAACGCCTGGCAGGTGGACGCGCTATTGTTTGATGTCAAGAGGAGGAGGCTTAACAAACCCAAGCAGCCTTGGGAGACAGGCCCTCTTTCTTTGAAGCTTCCAAGGGTTATGTCCGCAACAAAGCATTTGCTTATGGCTGATGTTCTTAATCCTCCTGTGAGCTCTCCCTTGGGAGCTAGAGAACCCGAGCCCATACTGGCTTGGGTGGTTGAGTCACGACTTCGACATTTCAGGGTTGAGAGGTCTGATGAGGATTTGCGTGTTTTGGCTTTGACAAGGATCAGGACTTTGGTTATGCTGGACCCTTTGGCTTCAAGGCTGGGAAGGAGCTTGGCAAGCGAGGTTGAGAACCTCGCGACTGAGGACGAGATCTCCTCTTCATTTTCCCATGCGTTTGCCTCCAAGGCCTCCAGCACCATTTACAAGAGGTCAGGCTCGCTGTGCAAGTTTGCTACATGGTGCATGCATCGTGGGATCTCGCCGCTTCGCTTCAGTGAGGTGGACCTTTACAGATACATGTGCAGCTTACAGGAATCTGCGGGAGCTACTTCGGGAAGCCACCTTGTCGAGGCACTGAGGTTTCTTGATGGTGTCGTGGGATTGGTGCATGTGGCGATTGAAGAAATTTTATCATCCCGATGCAGAGGCCTCGCTCAGGCTATGCATACATCAAAGGCTCCGTTGAAGCAGAAGCAGCCACTGACAAGGATCTTTTGCATCAGGGCATCAAGTCGACATGTCTGTATCGCAGGGCAGTTGCTTTTCTGCTTTCATTCTGCATCGAGGTGGAGGGATTCACAGACCCTCCGACATGTAGACTTGGAGGTCGACCCGTCATCTGGCGAGTCACTGGTTTTCGGGGAGGCGCTGACTTCGAAGACGACCCTGACGGCGAAGGCCAAAACCACGCTGCTTCCTTACGTGGGAGTGGGTTTGGGCCTTTCAAAACAACCCTGGGCTGAAGCCTGGCTGAAAGCGCGGAGCGAGGAAGGATTGACAGATGGTGACCCTTTCTTGCCCACGTTTTGTGAACGTCGAGGCTCCTGGGATCTCAGAGAATGTCTGCGTCAGAGGCCAGCATCTACCTTAGAGAGTTCCTCCAGAACATGAGCGGGGATTATGGAGACATGATGTCCCTGGGAACACATTCCATGAAGCGGACTTTGTTGAGCTGGGCGGGGAAATCTCATCCTATAGCTTTCACCCACTCGGAACGTCGTCTTCTTGGTCATCACCTAGATCAGGAGAACAAATCTGTAGTGATCTACAGCAAAGATTCCTATGTGGCTTTGTATGGGAAAGTTTTGGGGATGTTCTCGAACATCCGTGCCGGGCTCTTTGACCCGGACATGAAGGCTGTCACGAGGATGAGGGTCATCGCGCAGCGGCTGGCCCAGGATGATGATCAAGAGTTCCCCGCCGCACCAAGGACCCCTGGACCTGTTCATGATCAACGCGACGACCCAGTGCCGGAGGTCGCTGAGTCTGAGGCGGGCAGCTTGAGCTCAGGATCCGAGGCTCCCGATGGAGAGCTGAGAGTCCCGGGGATGTTGGGGGCCAGGTCTCCTTTCGTAGGAGTTGACCTGTCAGCCTGCTGGACGCAGAAGATTTCCGGCATCACACATGTCATCAGGGACGAAACAACGTTGATGTGCGGTCGTTTCCTGTCCTCCAATTTTGTTAGAACAGCGGAGGCAGGGATCGCCGGAGCGAACCCAGAATGTTGCCATCAGTGCAATCGGTGCCTGGAGTCACACTGAGCATTGACATTAAAAGGGGGGCCGATTGCCCCGCGGGGAGCTCTCCGTGGCACGTTGGCCGGGTTTTCGACTACCTGGCGTGACAACGTGGGAGGGCTCCCGTGACGCGGATTGCCGCTTGCTGAAGACTGAAGTGCAAGCTTGAATGGCAGCTGGTTACCATGCATCGCATGCAGCCGGGGTGCTCAAAGTTGTTACATGAACAAATTTGGATTGAATCGTTTCAAGACGTACATAACGATCTGAACGCACGACTTTAATGCTGGACTAACGTTCTGGGAGATTGTCATCTTGGGCTGAAAATCGAGCACGTATCTTGCAGGGTATCAAGATTGTGAGGGCGACTTTATTCTTCGACCAAGGTTTCCAGATCGAGCACGTACCAGGAGAGGTATCAGATTGAGAGGGCGGATATAAATCCGGGAGCGCCAATGGCTGCTGCGTCTCTGGATTCTGAGGCGTCTTTCAAGGAGCGAGCCCGAAAGATTGGGGTCACACCTGAGGTCTTACAGGAGCTGGCCGAGGCGGGGTACACTACATTTGGTAGGCTGTGCTTCGCGGTCACCGCAAACCCTACGCAACTCGAAGACAGTGCTGTTGACTCATGGATACGCAGCATCTTCAGGGAAGCTCCATCGCCATATCAAACTTCGTGTCTGAGGCGTCTCTTGTTCGAGGCTAACTCTTTGAATATCGCGGATTTGCATGCCAGGGTCGAACCTCCAGCTGAAAACATTGTCAGACGGTTGCCTGCCGCAGAGCGGGCTGCCAGGGCACAGGCGCAACAGGCGAGGTTGGCTGGAGTGGTGTTCACTCCGGATACAACTCCGGCTAACTGCTTGGTGGATGTCTTCGTGGATCAGCTAGAGAGCGATATCTTGCAGTACATAGGCCCTGAGCGCTGTGTGTCCCGTTCGCAAGAAATGATGTCTGTTAAAAAGGACAAGACCCTCAACGTCGACCCCGAGGGTCGGGTCCGTGTCACGGCCAAGCCCAACGAGCTCAGGTGCGAGACTTCTTCGGATGCCAAGCTGAGAGCTGCCTGGGGTCGTCGTTCGCTGGCAATGGATCTTGCAGGGATTTGCTCATATATTGAGATTGAGAAGTGGGTGCAACACTTGTTCTCAATTCAAGCTCGCGAGGTGCCGAAGGGAATGGCACCCATCAGTGTCAATCAGCTCATACAAGCTGACCGTGCTTTGTTTCTTCACGCATCAGAGAAGCTTATGGGTCAGCTGTCAGCTCCTGCAGGTGCTCCTAAACCTTTGGATGGTGTCATAAAGGATCTTATGCATTCCCAAGAGGTTCTACAGTTCGTGCAGCCGGTACCGCGAGTGCCGGATCCCCCGCAACCTTGGCAACCTTGGAAGCCCACTGGAAAGGGTCGCAAAGGCAAGGATGACCCTAAGAAGGGTAAAGGCGACCGCACCACTACTCCTACCAAGGTGGACATCCCTGAGGGTTGCGTTTCAAGGACTTCAGCAAATAAGCCCATCTGCTACGGTTTCAACCGTGGGACTTGTAAGTGGAAGGGCAAGTCGGGTAGATGCCAGAGAGGTTTGCATGTCTGCTGGAAAGACGGATGCGGGCGAGCCAAGCCTTACTATGAGTGCACGCATTCCGATTGAAAGGGAGGGAGCTCTGCAAAACCTGCCTTTGTTGAGCCTCCCGCACACTTATCCCGGCAGGACCAGTCGACTGCCACCGTGGGTGGTACCGTGCCATCGCCCGCAGCTGAGGAGCTGGCGGCTTCACTTTTGCAACAGGGTTCTATATCTCGCCAGCAGGTGTGTCAGCTTCTGCAGGCTTTGCCAAACTCACAAGGTCGTCGCCAAGGCGACGAGTTTTCCAAGTCCTTTGTTTCAGGTGCCATGTCTTCTCTGGAACCTCGGGTGTGTGTGGAACCACTCGACAGTTCCCGAATTGTGTCAAGGCGTGCACTGCATTCATTAATCATTCTTTGCCAGGCCACACTTATACATCTTTTGCCCTCTTTTCGCGGCTTGAAGCTTCGGTGCATGTGGATTCCCATAACTTGCCTGGGAGTCTCAATGCAGTGTTTGCCCTCTCTGATTTTCAGGGTGGGGGCATAATCGTTGAGGATGCGCAAGGCCCCGAACATGCCACTTATCGGGGACGAGTCTTGTCAGGCCGGGTCGTACCTTTTGTGAATCATGTGCTGCAGTTTGATGCTCAGTCCCAGCGTCACTGGACTCAGCCTTGGAAGGGGACGCGTCAGGTGCTAGTGGCATATAGCGTTTCCATCAAGGGGCTCCATCAACCCGACCTTGACTTCTTGCGCAGCTTGAACTTTCAGTTGCCCGCGCCCATCGGCGACCCACACGTGCTGCCCGATGCTCGACCATGGGCATTCGAAATCTTTGCGGGGTCCGCTTCCTTGTCCAAAGCTTGGCATAATGCAGGTTTTCGGGTTTTGGCCTTTGATGTGCATGTTCGCGGTGCTGGTATGCCAATTGTGCCATTAGATCTTACTCAGGCTTCTGCGGTGAGCATTTTGTGGGACTTGATCCGACGAGTCCAGCCTGTAGCTGTGCATGTCGGCATGCCATGTGGGACAGCGTCTCGGGCCCGAGAGCGGCCGTTGTCCAAGGCTTTGAAAGCGGCTGGGGCACCCGAACCTCGTCTGCTTCGCGACGCACTACACCCCCTAGGACTCCTAGCCTTAATCCCGGCTCCATAGACGCGCTTCGGGTAGCCAAAGCAAACCTGCTTTACGAGCTGTTGTTAGATTTTGCCCTCCATTGCGCTGAAAAACGCATCGTTATATCGATCGAGAACCCCACCCATTCGTGGGCGTGGGGAGCAATGATTCAGATCCTGCGTTCGCGTGGCAAGCCGCAGCAGGAGAAACTGTTCAACACGTTGCAAAACATCAGCTTTCACGTGTGTCAACATGGAGGAAGCCGCCCCAAACACACCCGGCTTCTCTGCACCGCCCAGGTCTTCGACTCCATGCAGCACTACTGCGACAACAAGCACGAGCACGCTCCATGGAGTGTGCAACGCGTCAACGGCCGGTGGCACTTTGCCACCGCCTCCGAGGCTGCATACCCGGCCCTCATGGCGGCCAGAATGGCACGATGCCTCTTGAATTTACTGCGCCCCAGCCTTGGCTCGCTTTCGGCTCGCCCTGCATCTGTGCCTGTAGCCACGGCTCCTGCTGGCCGCCAGTCTAGAAAGCATGCCGCACTTGTTCCCGAGTTCGCTCGTGTCTCTGAGATGCCTTCGCAGCAAGTCCAGAAAGGCAGCGTGAAGTCTCTTTTCAAGGGGAGAAGTCGGGAGACGTGCAAGATTTTTCTGCAAAAGTGGAGCCCTCCCCTGCTGTGGTTCACCCTAGTTCCCCGGGTTCTAGTAGGGATCCTCCACAAAAGGATTTGGTGAAAGTGGGAATTTACCACACGCCTAGCGAGCATGTGGCTAAGGCGATGGAGCTGGAACATCCTTTTGATGTCAATCACGCGGTTTCTCCCTTCACCGTTGAAGCCATTGACTTCTTGATGAGCTCAAGCCATGAACAGGTGGTGTTGCATCGCAAGTTAGCCTTGCTCAAGCTGCAGCTGCTCATTAAGAGAACTGATAAGGAGGAAGCAGCCCTGCATGAGAGCATGCCTCCGTCGGTTGCAAAGGTGATGCGTGGGAAGAAGCTAGTGGCCCTGAAACTTCTACTTGAGCAGGAAGGGTATGATGACTTAGAGTCCCTACGTTTCCTTACCGAGGGAGTAAAAGTTATGGGTTCAGAGGCTCACCCCCCGTGTTTCGACAAGAAGGTCAAACCTGCCACACTGACCGAGATGGATCTGCGAGAAACAGCTGAGGCGAGAAGGCGGGCCATCACAGGCAGCAGCACAAGGGATCATTCTTGCAAAGCCTCCATCCTGCAGGAGGTGACGCAGGAGGAAGTAAACCTTGGGTTTCTTGATGGGCCGTACTCTGCTGATGAAATTTCCAATTTGGTAGGGCATGAAAACTGGTGTGTCATCCGCAGGTTTTTGATTGAGCAAGGAGCCAAGCATCGTCCGATCGATGACGCTTGCCAATCTCAAACCAACGCGGCATACAGTGCAACTATTAAGTTAGAATTGCATAATGCCGACGACATTGCATGCATTGCCCTCTTGATTGCGAAGAAGATCAAAGATGGAGAGCAAAGGTTTGGGTCAGGCGAGTGGACAGGCAAGTGCCTGGACCTGACTAAAGCTTACAAGCAAATCGCGCTGCATTCCTCCCACCGGGACCTCTGTGTAACCTACTTCAAAGGGGCGGATGGTAAAGACCGTTTCTATCTCCCTAACTCCTTGATGTTTGGCGCGTCAGCGGCCGTCTTCGGGTTCATTAGGGTAAGTAGGTGTTTGCACTTCTTGGTCAACAAGATCTTGAAAGTTCCTTCGGCGGTTTACTTCGACGACTTTCCCCTTTTCACTCCGGTGGAAGGGGCAGAGGCGATGGACGAAGCCGTGAGTCAGTTTCTTTCCCTCCTGGGTTGGGATCACGCTCGCACGGGTGCCAAAGGAAAACCCTGTGCACCTGCCTTCGACGTGCTGGGCATGACACTTGACTTGTCCAAGGTGCAGCAGGGTTTGGTTACCTTGAAAAACAAGCCTGGACGGGCTGAGAAAATCTTAGATGAGTTTGCTAAGGTAGACTCTCCTGAAGCAATCACGCGTCACCAGGTGCAGGTTTTGCACGGGCTTCTAAACTTTGCAGCTGGCTTTTTCTCAGGGAGATCGCTCAAGCATCTGTGCTATGATCTGCTTGAATTTCTTGAGTGGCGCGGAGAAGTGGCTTTCGAGAGGTTGCAGTCCCTCGCAGAGAGAACGCGAACCATCCTTAACAACACTCCCCCTAGGGTGCTTTCCTGCTTGTTTGTGCCTGAGCCCATCCTTGTTTGGACCGACGGGTCTTGGGAGGACGGAGTGGCTGGCATAGGCGCTTGCATTTGGGACCCCTTGGTTAAGGTTGGCAGGGTTCTTTCGGGTTTCGTTCCTTCGTGGGCTTGGGACACTTGGAGGGCGGATATCGAACCCAGCGACAAGGAGCCTCAGCTGATTTGCCACATTGAACTCTTCGTGATAGTAGCTGTGCGTTGGATCTTCAGCGATCAGTTCCTGAACAGGAGGCTCATTCTGTTTGTGGACAATGAAGCTTCGAGGTTTGCTATCTTGAAAGGTGGCAGCGGCAGCAGAGGAATGAATGCTCTCACACGAGCGTTCGATTCCTTAGATGTGACGCATCCGTGCTTCTACTGGCTTGATCGAGTTCCTTCGTTCAGCAACGTAGCGGACGGCCCTTCAAAGCCTCCGGCTCAACGGTGTGTTTTGTTGGGGAGGGGTTGTTTTTGTACATAGCTGCGCCCCACCAG